AGCTGCCCTCCCCATGGCTGGGTTGAGCCCTCCGCCAGTTTCCAGGCAGGTGGGCCCGGGCTGCAGCGAGGAGCTGCGCTGCCGGCCTCCCCGAGCCCCTGCTTTTCCTCACAGGGGCCAGGGGTCCCCACACCGTCTGTCTTCCAGGCTCCACTCTCACCACAGACCTAAGCTGCTCCCAGACTCCCAGAACCAAGAGTTCTTGGGTTGGGCTTTTTGTTTTGTTTTGTTTTGTTTTTTTTAATAAAAATATCTCTCAAATGTGTTCGTTAGATGGCAGTCATTGAAAGCCAGATTCCCCACATTGGCGGAGGCAGGTGCCCAAGGGTAGCTGTGGTCACCAGGAGGATCCGCACCCGCCTCGGGCTCCTCCCCTGCTCTTCCCAGAGGCTCACCCTTGATTGACTGAGCCTCCGCAGCCCACTCATTTCCTTTGAGAAAATGTAAATCATTTTCATTCAATTCAGCGACATCTATTGAGCATCATCTCGAACAAACAGGGACGCAGGTGAACAAGGCAGCTAGAGCCCTTCTCCTTATGGGGCTCCTGGGGAGACGCTGAAACTGGAGCAGACAGTTACCTAAGAGAAAGGACTGCGGGGAGCGGGGGTGTTAAAGCCACACAGCAGCTCCTTGGGCAGAGTGGAGTCCAGAGGAGGATTTTTCCAGGTAGGGAGGTGCTGAACTCAGAGTTTCACCTCCTCTTTTTGAGTCGCCGACTTTACCACTGGCCTTCCTTCCCACAAGGAGAGACAATCCTGACGTAAATGAGGACCATTCCCTGCCCCTGATGTCCTTTAGTATAGCAAGGCGTTCCGCACCTTCAAATGACACCTCTCTTAAAACTAGCAGAGAATCAGGACTTTTTCTGTTACTTTCTTTTCTACTTTACAATGGACAGTTACATGGATGTATCTGGACAAGTAAGCATAGCTAACATGGTCTACTATGTGCCAGCCACTGTTTAAAGGAGATATATATATATATATATATATAACTAGAGGCCCAGTGCATGAAATTCATGCACTGGCAGAGGGTCCCTCACCCTGGCCTGTGCCCTCTCACAGACCAAGAGCCTCAGCAGATGTCCGACTGCTGCAGAGGCCGGAGAGGCTACCACCACTGCCACTGCGCTTGCCAACCGTGAGCCCACCGATGCATGATTGGGGCTGGGGAGGGATGTGGGAGGTTGGCCAGCCAGAGAGGGACCATAGGAGGGCTCCAGGGCATGTCCAACCCATCTCACTCAGCTCAGATTGGCTGGACCCCAGCAGCAAGCTAACCTACTGGTCAGAACATCTGCTCCCTGGTGGTCAGTGCATGTCATAGCGAGTAGTTGAGCGGCCTTAGCATATTACACTTTGATTGGTTGAATGGCCAACTGGATGAATGGACACTTAGCATATTAGGCTTTTATTATATAGGATGAGATAGGTACCATTTCATGGGTGAGGGAACTGAGACTTGGAAAGGTTATGTGACACTCAGGGTCACACTCAGGGATAGAGCGTCAGCCTGTGGACGAAAGGGTCCCGGGCTCAATTCTAGTCAAGGGCACGTACCTCAGTTGCAGGGTCCTCCCTGACCCTCCGGCACATGGGCTCCTTTATAAACCTGCCCCCTTTCAGCGAGAGCATGACTCTGGACTCAGAAAAATCTGGATGCAGGGACTCACTGGGAACAGCCGGCACTGGGAGACGGTTTCTCCTTTGACGCAGGAGCAAGGACAGACCCTAAGTAAGCGCCGAGTTGAATGTTAGCCCTCAGTGGCTGAGCAAGTGGCCCCTGGGACACGTTGGTCCAAACATCTCCAGCTTCAGCCACATCCCGGGGGAAGAGGCTCTAGCCCCTGGGACCCCAATGCTCGGCAAAGAGGCTCCTTCCATCGACACACATGATGCTGCTCACTCTGTGCCCACCCTACAGGGTTCCAGAGCTTTGGCAGCAGGTGAAATGTGGTCCCTGCCTGGAGGAGCTCACGCTAGCCTCTGGGCAGATGTAAAAGTAGCAGCCGGGGTGAGGGCTCGATGGAGGCCGTTGCCTCCATAGGTGCTTTGAAGCCCCAACTCTGGCTCTGCTACTTGCTGGTTACAGGACTTTGGTCTTAGTTTTTGAGCCTCACCTTGCGCGCCTTTGAAATGAACCATTTCCCTGGTGGGGAACGAACAGTGTTTGACACGAGGCGCCCAGCACAGTGCCTGGCACACGGAAATGTTTCCACAGCTCTGATGTTGTCAGGGTTCCTCCAGGACTGACACCCTCCACATTGTAGACGCTACTGGCAGGCACATCAGTTCTAAAAGTTTCCCAGCAGGTGGAAGAAAGCATTTTGAAGTAAGGGCGTCTTTTCTCGCTTTGCCCAAAGGCATTGTGCGGGCAAGCAGCAGTCTCAATGTTGATGGTCATCGAAGGATGTGCAGTGAGGTGGGAGCAGAGAGGAGGATGGGGGTATCTGAAGAGGCTCCCTGGAGGAAGGATATCCGAGCTGAGAACAGGGACGGGGAGGGTACGCCAGACAGAAGCACTGACATCAGGTTGTGAACGGCCTTGAACGTCATGCTTAGAACTTCGGGTTGTTCGGCATGGGACACTGGAGTAAACGGAATGGCCAGAGATGACCAGCAGGGACAGAGATGTCCGGCTGTCCCCAGGCAGAGGGGGTCACCATCAGCCCATCTGTAGCCCATCCCTGACTCAGCAGCACCCGAGGTAGGGACCTCGGTTGGAGACGAGGGGAAGTCCCTGAGTTTGCAGGAGAAAGGCCTTTAATAAAGTGCAAACGCTGCGGGGAGGAGGCACATTGACAAGAGCAGTGGCACCAGCTAATGTTTACTGAGCACTGCTATGTGCTAGCTGCTTTTCTGTGTGCTTTATGTATTTTAACTTCATTCTTACAACTGGTGAGATAAGTGTTATTCCTGTACCTCTTTCACAGGAGGGGAAACTGAGGTACAAAATAGGTGAAGTGCCCAGGCTTACCCAGCTGGGAGGAGCCGCGCCAGGACAGAGGCAGAACAGAGCGCTGGGGCTCCCAAGCCCCAGTTTCCACCACTGGGATATATTGTCTCGCCCGCTCTCACACACCCAGCAATCCCTGCAGGCTCATTATTAAAGAGCCTTCTTAGATAAGCCCCCTGGGCTTGAGTGGGAGGGAGGAAGGCAGGGCACAGAGAGAGGAAGGTGGCAATCTGCCAACACAGTTGGGCAGCTTCCCAGGAGAAGCTAGTGGAGTGGAAAGGGGACTGGAGAGCAAGAGGACAGGAACAGCCTCCTCCACCCCCATTCCAATTTCATGGGGTTTTCACAACACTGGCCGGGCACTGGAGTCACAGTCCGATACCCCATTACAAATGGGGGGCTGAGTTCCAGAGAGGGGGTGTGGCTTCCAGGAGTGGCCTAGAGCCAGGCCAGAGGCAGGAGTGAGGACATTCCCATGCACTGGAGCCACAAGAGGCAAGATCCTGGGTCCTCTATCCCACCTGTGTCTCCAGCTCTGTCTCGGTACTGGCACCCCATTCACCCCAATTCTTGGTGCCTCTCCAGTGCTTCCCTCACCCTTTCCCCGGCGTCACCGTGTCCTATACCTTCCGAATAACTGACATCTGCCACCTCTCTTTCCCCACAACGTCTGCCTTAGTCCAAGCCATCGGTTTCTCCTCTGGTTACATCAGCAGCCTCCTAACTGACCTACTGCCTCAGGCTCCCCACACAGACCCAGTCTCCTCTCCGTGTGCAGAGCGACCCTGCTTGAAGCCACCTGATCCTCTCACTCCCTTGTTGAAACACTGCCCTCCCTTCCCAGGCCCACAGGGCCCATCCTAGCCTGACCCCCCCCCCAAAAAAAAATAACCTTTCAGCTGCACCTCCATTGTCCCCCAGCCACACTGGGTTACCCACCATTTTCCTGAAAGCTGAATTTTATCAGCCAGTGGTTGAACACAATGAAATTACATGAAACGTTAAATGAAAGGTTATGTAAATGAAATTATGTAAACTGACCATTAAATCAATTATAGCAACAACAAAGGTAATACATGCTCATAATTCATTACTTTCTAATTAGCTTACTCGATTTTACTATTATTTATATCTTAAGCATATCTATATCTATTGTCTGTATCTGGTGCAAATCTTGTGGAACGGTGTGCTACTTACACACATCTCATACAGACAGCGTTCAGTGGCCTTACACTGGCAACGTGCAATCAGCCATGATGGGAGTAGCTACACTACAGATCATCAAACACTGCAAATCAGAGATTGACCTATTGTTTTGTTGTTCACCTAGACCAGGGATCAACAAACTACAAGCCAAATCCGGCCCACCACCAGTTTTTAATAAAGATTTATTGGAACACAGCCACACTCATTCATTTGCTTATTGTTCTGAGGCATTTTGTACTAAAATAGCAGAGCTGAGCAGGTGCAGTGAAGGCTGTCTGGCCCCCAAAGCCTAAAATGTTTACTATTTGGCCCTTCAGGGGAAGCTGGCACACTCTCAGGGAGCTACGCATACACCTGGAATAGGAGTGACAGAAACTGGAGGATCTGGTGAAAGCTGGAGGAGCCTTGGGCCCAGCTGCTGCCCCCCGCCAACAGGGTGAGCTAGCAAGTTAGCGTCTCCGTGAGTGAGCTGCAACTGCTCCTGGCGGCCCTGCGCCCACCTTCCTAGCGGAAAAGGATACAAATCCTGTTTCATGCCCACTCTCCAAATCTTGCACAAAATGTCACCTGTGGCCCTCGCTAAGTCAGGACCGCAGGGAAGAGAATTCTGGGAAACATAGTTTCAGTTTAGCTACAAGGACACTGTGCAAATTCCCTGCAGCTCCAGGTGTTAACTTGAATATTAGACCCATGGAGACCCACTAGCATCCGAGACCGTTAGAGGTTAAAGCCCACAGTCCGGAGGCCCTCAGACTTGTGCTGTGGTTATTTCCCAGAATTCACTGGGAGATGAGTACTCAGTAGCTAGCTGGCAGAATCCTCCCCAAGTGGAAATCCCTGGAATTGTCCTCCCACTCCTGCCAAGTTACAAACCAAAAGCAATACCAGAACCTTGTAGAAACTGCAGAGGTGAGTGCCTCCATCCAGAATGGGAGCCATGCAAGGGTAGCGATTCCAGCCACATACCCTTGTAACTCACCTTTTTGCAGGCGAAAAAGGAAACTTGACGATGTGCTGAGGCCAATCACAGCCACAATTCTCGGTTTGATGTCTTTCTGGAGAAAATCAGTATAAACCCCCGCGCCTGGTGTGCGGCTATTGAGCTCACGTTTTCTCTTACAGGCCCATGAGTATGGGAAGTTACGCTCCGTTTGCATTTACATGTCTTCACCGCCTTGCCCCGGGTTTTGAAACTCTTCCGCACACTGCAAGGTCCAGAGTCATGACCGTCTTAACCACACAGAGAACACGGTGCTGATACATTCCATTGGTGCCATGATGCTAACTGAACTCTGTGAGCAGGAAACGGCAAGCATCGTAGGTGCCTTAGGCAGATGTGTGCCAAAGTCAGAGATGAACGCTGTGGAAGTTCAAGGGCCTGCCATATCAGGAAAGCTTCTAGGGGACCAGATTCTTGGGAATGTCAGATATCTTCCTTTGTTTTTTTTAAATTGTTATTGTTTCAGAGAGGAAGGGAGAGGAAAAGAGAGAAATAGAAACATCAATGATGAGAGAGGATCATCGATCAGCTGCCTCCTGCACACCCCACACTGGGGATCAAACCCGCAACCCGGGGCACGTGCCCTGACTGGGAATTGAACCGTGACCTCCTGGTTCATGGGTCGATGCTCAACCACTGAGCCATGCTAGCTGGGCTGTCAGATATCTTCTAATGTGAGAGACAAGATCCTGTCCCCTATGCCATACACCATAAATAGGAGCAATGCGTGGTATGTCTTTTGGGTTTTGGAGCCAACATATGTCACCGTTAGACAGGGTGCTTTGACTCATTTACTAGGTAGCATATAAATCTGACTATGTTAGCTCTGGGTCTAAAAAAAAGGCTCTTCAACAGTCCAAGCTGTGATACAAGCTGCCCTACACTTGGGCATTCTGCCTGGTAGATCCACGTGCCTGACTTAGGTGTCAGCCAAAGATGCCATGTGGTGCCTCTGGCAAGTCCCAAGGGGAGTATCACAGCTATGACCCGGGGAGTCGTGGCCTTGCTAGCCTCTGCCAACGATCCTTCTACATTCCGGGAAGCAGCTTCGGGCTTGTGACTGAACCTTGATAAGGACCGAATGCCTGATTGATGGACACCAAGTGATTATCGGACCCAAATGTTCCTCATGAACGAGTGTCCTCTGAGCCACGGAATCGTGAGCTTGGATTTGCACAGTTGCATCTCACTGGAAACTGGAGTGGTGTATGCATTGCGGGGCCCAAGCACAATGAACCACCAAAGCGGGTGCTGGGAGTCCCCATGGCGTTTGTTTCTATGGCTTCACCTCCTCTCCCTTAGCTTACACTCAATAGCTCCAAGGGGAAGAGGCCAAAGGACAGGCCTGACTTATGGAAGGCTGTGCACAGTAAGCCAGCGCCAGCCAGAGCGGACAGCTTCTGTGGACAGCCTATTTCGAGGGGTCCCTGAAAGATGGTGGTGAAGGAAAGAAAAATCCTCCCCGTGGGCAGAATCTCAGGCAGCACACGTGTCACCCACTTGGTGCGGAAGGAAGGGTGGCCTGTGGTGCCGACTGATAGGAACTCATGAGCAACATCTAATGGGCTGGCGATTTGCAGAGACTTGGAGAGAACACAGCTGGGAGCTTGATGCCGTGATCATCTAGGAGAGAGGCCTGTGGCTTCTTAGAATGTAGCACGGAAGACATCCATGTCCCGTGTAAATGCCCATCAGGAAGCAATCGGCGGAGGAGTCCTTACTGGATAAGATGGCCCAGCCTATAGATCCGATCAGCCTCTTTCCCCAAGAAAATTGGTGCTTTCTCTGTGAACCCACGGGAAGGGCAAAACCCCCAAGGTTTCTGTATGTGATAGGAGGCTTCTCTGCTCTTTGTCCAGCTATGCCATTGACCTGATGGCTCACGTTGGACCATTCCCTTCCCTTTTCTTGACCTTGGTTTCCTAATTTTACAATGAAGGGTTTAGACACAACGATCTCTGATTCTGAACTATATAGCCCAGCAGGAGGCATTTGAAAATGAGGCCTGGGAGGGGGCCTGCTGGTGACATCATAGAGGGGAGAATTCTGTGAGAAGAGTCTGGCTTTCCTGGAAACCCCATTGACACAGGTTAGGTGAGAAGGACAAGCCAGGTAGGATCCTGCTAGGCCTATGTCTTGAGCTCTTCTTGTTCAAGGGTTCCCAGCATAGTCATTGATTAACCTTCGATGGCAGCAAAGGCTCAAAACGAGACAGACACCAGTGACTTGGATGTGCCCGCTCACCCCAGATCATCAACCACGCACCACAGACCAGGTCATAGTGGAGCCCATCGCCATCGTAGGCCCCATGGTCACCATCGCCATGGTGTGTCCCATCATCATGGTGGATCTCACCTCGACTCCCCTGACAGTGCCTTCTCCCGCCACTCCCCCAACCCCTCCACCACCTTTGCCTCGACTGGGTCTCATGGTACTGTCATCTCCCACCATACCCATGAGAAGGTACCCATTCGTGATGAGCACCACCGTGGTAGCAGGAGACATCATGGTAGGCCCCCCGACTTTAGTGAGTTTCGCCGTCATGGTGGGCTCCATCACGAAGGTGAGCCTTCCCATTCTAAAGACGGTGCGTCCTCCGAGCTAGGTGGGTCCCATCACTCTTCTGTTTACGACCACAGCAAGCGCTATCATCATGTAACCCACTACCACAGAAGGCCTCTTCATCATGGAGAGAGCTCTTCCCACCATGGCATATCTCGCGACCCCAGTGAGCACCACCGCGGCCACTACAGTGACCACCACCATGGCCACCGTGGCCATCCTGGTGAGCACCACCGCAGAGAGCACCCCCATGGGGAGTACCCTCGTGTCAGCTCCAGAGACTTGCACACGGGCCTCAGCGTGGCCAGAGTCAGCTCACTCTTTCAACCTACCACGGCACACAAGCAGAGCACGGCCGTTAGCTTGACGCATTCCCTCAGTGCCGTTCGCTCACGTGCCTCCAAGAGCTCCAGCAGAATCCATCCTCTGGAATCCTTATCTAGAATCTCAGAAAGCTGGCCTGAAGATGAGCCAGTTCAGATGCAAAAAAGTGAGTCTTTGCCCACCCCTGCCCCCACCACCACTCCCGTTCCAACTCCCACTGCCTGGCCCAGGTTGCAGATCTAACTCAGGCCCTGCACCAGCCTTGCACAGATCATGAGGTTTGACTCTCGCCTGGAAGGAACTTTTCATTGGCTATTCACTCAACCGACTGTTCATCAGCCAATCAGGCACCTCTTCAGGCCGTCGGTGGTTTGTTCACTCAGTCACTGCTTTCTTCATCTGCACGTTTACTTGTCCAACATTTCCTCTTATCTAATATGGGCACCTGGACTACTTGGGCTCCAAGGCTGGGGGTGGTTACAACCAACCAACCCAGATCATCCAGTGATGGAGGCCTATCCTTCATGTCAGAACATTTGTGGATTCTATTTGTCCATATTTCCCACACTAAGCCATGAGCTTCTTGAGGTCAGAGTCTGGGGAGCGGTGCCTGAATGAGGGCCATTTGAGGGCAGGGGGGACCTTGGCTGTTAATGCACAACCCCCCCGCCCAAACTTGGCCCCTAGTAGCTCAGCAAACATGGCAACAGCCCCACAGACAAGCAGAGTGGAGTGAATGTCTAATGGAGGGGGTAAGGAAAGTAGCCGAGAGAAGATGTTCCAGCAGAATCTTAAAGGGAAAGGGAGAATCTACCAAGAGGATGGGGTGGCGTGGAGGTTCAGTCTTCCACACGTAAGTTGCCATGTGAGTAAAGAAAGGCATGGGGGTGTGGGAACATGAGCCCTCAAAGCATGTTCCAGCAGACCCCAAATCCCCCACAGGCTGGCCCCTACCATGGGAGGAGTTGGGCCTGCGGCCCGGTATCAGTTCATAGAGGCCCCTTCGTGAGTGGAAGGCAGGCAAGCAGGCGGGCATGAGGAACCCCAGCCCAGCTAACAGGGGGCCTGGCATCCCCGAGCCCCTCCTCACAGACTTGACTTTCTGGCCCCTTTACAGCCAGCAAAACCTCGCGGGCCCACAAGAAGGCGTACAGTGAGAACTTCTGCAGTAAGCTGTTCGGAAATTTTTGCTCCCTTTTGTACGGCCTCCGGAGAATGCTCAATGCCCTGACCCAGTCCCTGTTCTTCGACGCCTTCATCTTCATCGTTGTCTGCCTCAACATCATCATACTTGTGGCCCAGACCTTCGCTAAGGTTGAGGTCCGGGGTGGTAAGACCCGGGGAACCCCGTTCATGTGGAGAAGGGTATTGACGATGTTTCAGACCTGCTGTTGGCCTGGCCCAGTGCCCACTGATTTTATTTATTTTTTTAAACACTTTTTTTAAAATTTATTTTTATTTTTTTTTAAATATATTTTATTCCAAAACCGGTTTGGCTCAGTGGATAGAGCGTCGGCCTGCAGATTCAAGGGTCCCGGGTTCGATTCTGGTCAAGGGCATATACCTTGGTTGGGGCACATACCCAGTGGGGAGTGTGCAGGAGGCAGCTGATCGATGTCTCTCTCTCATCGATGTTTCTGACTCTTTATCCCTCTCCCTTTCTCTCTGTAAGAAATCAATAAAATATATATATATTTTAAAATATATTTTATTGATTTTTTACAGAGAGGAAGAGAGAGAGACAGAGAGTTAGAAACATCAATGATGAGAGAGAAACATCGATCAGCTGCCTCCTGCACATCTCCCACTGGGGATGGTGCCCGCAACCCAGGTACATGCCCTTGACCGGAATCGAACCTGGGACCCTTCAGTCCACAGGCCAACGCTCTAGCCACAGAGTCAAACCAGCCAGGGCTGCCCACTGATTTTATATAAATTAGTGAAGAGGCTCAGAGAGAGAGAGAGAGAGCTGAGGTCAGCTAGGCAGCCGGGGGCAGAAAGGCCAGCTAACCCGGAGGGTGTGCTGTTTGTGGCTATGACCACTAGAGGGCGTATTTGCTCTAAATATGCTTTGCTGGGCAGCGTGGTGGGGACCCAGGTGGGCTGGAAGGGCCAGAAGACTCTGAGGAGAGTCAGGAGGGGTGAGAGTGGAAAACCTAGGAAGGCAGCCCTTAAAACCCCGGGGAGCAGGGTGAAGGAAAGGGCAAAAACTAGAGAGAGAAGTAGAATGGCTGAGGTTACTTGCATGGTCACTGGGTTGGCTCCATTTTAAGCATTTTACTGTGTTAAATGCCTTTCATGCTCATGAAAAGTATCGGGCAGGCTGTTGTTATCGCCATTTTACAGACAGGAAAACTGAGGCACAGAGCAGCTAACACACACAGCTATGGGGGCCGAGTCAGGCTCTCCCTAAACGGCCGTGTGTAAGGTTCCCGTGGGGAGGAGGAGGGAGGGGCCAGGGCCGCTGGTGATGAGCCTGAGCGAGCCCCTGGCCTCCCCGCAGCATGGTACTTCATGGCCTTTGACTCCATCTTCCTCTCCATCTACGTGGTGGAAGCTTTGCTCAAGATCATTAGTATGGGCCTCGACTATTTTTATGATTCCTGGAACATTCTGGGTGTGTAGAAATGGGGTGTGTGTGTGTGTGTGTGTGCCACTGAACTGCCTAGGAGAGGCTGCAAACAAAGGGCCGGGCCGGGGGTGGCGGTGGGGCGGGCTGTGGGTCTGGGCTAGGGCCCTGGGCAGGAGCCTGTGACACTCAGGCACCCTGTGCCTTCAGACTTCTTCATCGTGGCCACGGCCGTGCTGGAGTTCACACTCGTGCAGTTCAACTCCCGCTCCTTGCAGCGCACCGTCTACAACCCCAACTTCTTCCGGATCTTCAAGGTCTTCAGGAGCCTGCGGGCCCTGAGGGCCGTTCGAGTGCTGAAGAGGCTCAGGTGAGCTGGGCCACAGCTGCCCTCCCTGGGAGAGGGGACAGAGGCC